CCCCTGGAGTCCATTTAAGCTCATGCCTACTGCTTCAGAGACTCCATCCAGCCACCTCATTCTTTGTCATCCTCTTCTTCTTTTGTCCTCAATCTTTCCCAGCATTAGGCTCTTGTTTCTCATTAGGTGGCAAAGTACTCGAGTTTCATCTTCAGGATCTAGCCTTCTAAAGGGCAGTCATGGTTGACCTCCTCTAGGACTGACCGGTTTGATTGCCTTGCAGTCCAAGGAATTCGCAGCACCATAGTTCAAAGGCCTCAATTCTTTGGCGCTCAGCCTTTCTTATGGTCCAACTTACACAGCCATGCATTACAACTGGGAAAACCATAACCTTGACTATCCGCACTTTAGTTGGCAGGGTGATGTCTCTGCTTTTAGTATTCTGTCTAGATTTGCCACAGCTTTCCTCCACAGAAGCAAGCGTCTTTTAATTTCTTGGTTCAACTTTTATTCAAACCCAGGCGCTTCATTCATGCTCCAGTTCTTCAGAGGATTTACACAACCTAGGAGAGAGCAGTTCCTCCTCCTGCCTGAGAAGGATGTGTAGTTCACTTCCAAAGTAGTAAGTGTCACACAAAATCCTGGGGGTGGGAGAGATATATTGTCTTTCTTGGCCACTACTGTTCGTGGAGACCAGAGTAGTCTCAGCCTAGCAACACTGTTATACACCTGTCACTGTTGATTGCAGCCCAGGAAACAAAGCTGGCTGCTTTGAGGCTTGACGCCGGGAGGAGGGGAGTGGCAGATTCCAGAGTGACATCCATAGAAGACCCTGGGGGATTCCTTTTCTTGCCCCCTGCCCCTCCCCCTCCCACCCACCCCCACCCTTAGCGCGGAAGTATCCATAGCAGGCGGGCGCGCGAAGCGCTTCGCTCCTGCGGGCGAGTCACTTTTTTAAAAGCCTCTTTCCGAGGTTCTGAAAGGGGGCGGAGACCGGAGGCCGACAGAGCCGGAAATGACGTTCTCCGTACGGTGTAAACAGTTTGGTGGGACCCTGGTAACCGTCGGCTCGCGACGGCGGTCTGGAGCGCGAGGCGGGGAGGGTGACTTAACAGTCGCCGCGGTGGCCTCTTCCGTTTTCTTTCTTTGCGTCGAGGAAAGAGGAGCCCTGGAAGCGCAGGCCGGCTGAAGAAAGGAGCTCCCCTCAGGGTCTCTCTTCTCCTTCCGCGCGAGTTCAAAGTGGGTCCCGCGGGGAGTGATGCTCCTGTGAGGGAAGAGCGGGGACCACCTTTCCTCCCCCTCCCCTTCCCCCCTCCCACCTCGCCTCCTCCCCTGCCCCACGTCCCTGCCATCTCTCGACGGGAGAAAGGATACGGACTGCTGGGACTTCCCGGGGGACGGGAGGTGTCTTGCAGGAGGCTGTTTTTAATGCACCCTTAAACGGAAGTTCAGGTTTTTTTTGGGGGGGGGGGATTTTTTTCTCTCTCTCCAAATACCGGTCTCCCGCATCACGGTGAAACGGGGGAGGAGAGGCTGTAAGCCCCTTGGGGGGGGGGTTGTCCCCCCTTTTTCTTTTCTCCTCCGAGCCGAATAAGATACGGAGCAGAAGATGCTAAAATGACCACTTGGGCCTGAAAGAGAAGACAGGGAGGGGACAGTGCTGGTTTTGTGTGTGAGCGCGCGCGCGCGGGCTTCTCCCTAAAGCGGGGAAGGGGATGAGGGGGTATTTTCACCACCCCGCTTTCCTTTTGGCACCTTCCCTTTCTTGCCCAAAGCGCTAGTGCCCGGTCTCTGTCCTTCCTCCCTTTACCCACGTTTGCGTTTCATCCTCGTTCCCCTCAACCCCCCCCCCGCCCCTCCGGTGCCTGCCAACTCCGTTAACGGGGTCTCTTTACTGTGGAAGATGGCGACACCAGGGATGAGCTGGCAGCAGCACTATTACAGCGGCAGTTCTTCGACCAGCACTGGGAAATTCAACACCAGCTCTTCTTCCTCTGTGATGTCCTCCCATTTCGGCATGGAATATAACCAGGATCTTCATCTCAAAATGAGCAAGAAAATAGCTCAGTTAACCAAGGTAGGAGAGAGCCCACCCCCCACCCCCAATCCTCCTAAGGCTTTTCCTCCTCAGTGTTTCTTTTGCTCACTCATACCATTTCTGTCTGTATGTATTTTGAAACTGCATTTCAAACTCTGCATAGGTTAAAAGAGAATACATATCATTTGATTGAACATCTGAATCTTTCAAAAAAATAAACAGGTTTATTACACGTGATTGTTCTGTTATTTGTCAGTGGATCCTAGTAGTAGGCATATTCTTCTCTGCACTTCTATTTTCTCCCAATTCAGTATATGATGGCCTCGGATTAGGTGGAGATAATGAAAGTTGCAATCTAAAATTTATTCACAATGATAAACTCCACTGAAGGTAGTGAGATTTGACAAAATGTACGAATGGATAGTATGTTTGTATACCTGATAGCCAATGGTGCATAATTGCATTTATTTTTATTGTTGTTTTTATAATGCTTAACAACTATTGATTTGTTTCAGAACTGCTATTCATGCAAATCTTGGCAGTTTTCAAATATTAAAATAAATAGGTTTGCCTTTAGAAAGGAATTACAAAGTTCTCTTGGGGAATGTTTCATAATCATAACCTACTACAGAAAGGCATTCGCCCTGATCATATAGCTTGTCATTTAGAGGTAATTTGGAACAAGTGTCATCAGAGGATTGCAAGCAATATATTTCAGCAATCATATTCCTGATTATAAATGTAAGATGTAGTTTACGTATTTATTTCCTATACACATTGTAGGAGACTGCATATGCTGTATATAGACATGCCTTGACAGTTTGCAAGAATATTTTTCAAGAATATAAATTCTTTTTATAACCCAACCATAGTTTAATAGGCTTGGTAAAGTTAAAATGTATATTAATCAACCTCAACTAATGTACATATCCTTCCCAAACTTCGCGTCTTCAAATGTGTTCAACTACAGCTGCTATAATCAATAGATAATTCAACCATATGGTTAATTCCCAACACATCTGGAGGCACTAGATTCCAGAAACCTGATATTTACAAATATTGCTCACTTTATGACAAGCTCGGTATGTTAATTTCAGCATTGTTTTATGAAGCATGTCTGAATGACTCTGATATTGTGGGGCAGCTCTATTTGAAGAAAGGGTTAATGATAATTTAAATGGTTGAATCTGTTTTATAAATATGATTTTAACTTTTTTTGGTATATAAGAAATGCCCTGTGTTTATTTGAGTGGCAGATGATTGCTGTGAATTTTCTTTCTTGGTTAACTATTGGATTTCATCGAATTTATGTATACTCTTAATGCAAGCATAGCCCCATTCACAATTGTATTTTACATTTTAAAGAGGCAGCTGTCAACCAAATACTGTATAAACTTACACGAAATGTCAAATTCAAAAATAATATGGTTCCAAATGCAACTTCTAGGACTAAGAGTGGATGAAGAATACTTTTAAACCCTACATAAACATTTCTCCAAACAGCTGAGTAGCTCTGGTTTCATATTGAATACTGGATGAGATTATTCTTCCTATATTCAGATGTAATATACTATAGCATCTATATAATATGAACTTCATTTTTTTAGCTCTATATAATGTGGAAATTCTTGAGCAACTTTTTAAAATGGTTGTTACAATGCAAAATATATTGAATGTGTGATGAGGAGAAATTGATATGCCATATCATTTTTTAAAACCACTAAGACAGGTAGATCTGAAATTATGATCATAATGGAGCCTGGACATTACTGCTGAAAGTTGTAACAGTCATAAAAGTGATTGGTCATGTGACCAACATGATTTTTTTTTTGCGGCAATTGATAAGCAAATGCTATGATTGAAAGTGCAAATGCCACAGTCATTAAATGATCACCATGCTGTTAAATGAACCTGCTGTTCACTATGGACACAATTTTGCCAAAAAGTAAGTGCCACTTTTAAGCAAAACAGTTATAGAACCCAGTCATGTAAGGACAGGACACTGCCAATGTTTGTAAATGCAATTGTGTTACCATTGTCTGAAGTGCAGCCATGTGATCATTGTGGGGGAATCCAACTGTCAGAACCTCACATCCAAATTGCAAGTTCCTTTTTTCAAGTAGGTCCTAACTTTGAATGATCACTAGGTGGCCTATTGTAAGTCAATGACTACAGGTAGCCCTCGACTTATCGCCATAATTGGGCCCAAAATTTCCATTTCTAAGCAAGATTCAGTATTTTTCAAACTATAAGACGCACCAGAATATAAGACGCACCATGATTTTGAAGAGGTAATTTTTTTTTTAAAGGATTTGCCCTCCCTGGCCCCGGGGAGCATTCTTGAGGCCTCCCAAACCCTCTGCACACTCTTTTTTTTGTGAAAAACGGAGCATGCAGAGAGTTTGAGAAGCCTGTAGAGTGCTCATGGGGAGGCCAAAAAATTGGCTGGGGAGACCAAAACTTGAGCAAAAAAGGCCCGTTTTTCGTGAAAATGGGCCGTTTTGGGGAGGAAAAAAAGGGTGTGTGTGCAGAGGGGGTGGGAGGCCCGTAGAGTGCTGCCGGGGGCTGGGGAAAGCAAAAACTGGCCTGTTTTAAAAATGGGCCCATTTTTTTTTGCAAAAAATAGACATGCAGAGAGTTTGGAAGGCCTGCAGAATGCTCCTGGGGGCTGGGGAGGGCAAGCCCCCAGGCCCATTTTTCACTCATTTGTGCCCTCCCCAGCCCCAAGGAGCACTTTGCAGGCCTCCCAAACAAACTGGATGCGCATGGTGGGGTTTGGGGAGGCAAAAAATGCTGTATTCAGTGTATAAGACACACCCAGATTTTCAGGCATTTTTAAGGGGGAAAATGGTATGTGTTACATTCCGAAAAATACAGTAGGTGTTAAATGAGTTTTGTCCCATTTTATGGCCATTTTTTGTTAAGTGAATCACTGCAGTTAAATAAGTAACATGATTAAATGAATCTGACTTTGCTTGTCAGAAGATCGCAAACGGTCATCATATGACCCCAAGATACTACAATCATCCTAAATATATGATGTTACATGCATCCAACTTTTGATCATGTGACCATGGGGATGCTGCAACAGTTGCAAGTGAAAAAAATAGTCATAAGTCACTTTTTTCAGTGCTGTTGTAACTTTGAACTGTCATTAAATAAATGATTGTAAGTCGAGGACTATCCATTACCTGTAAATTTATGCTTATTAAAATATTCCCTTTAAAAGCATGGTCATACAATAAAATCATTCCAATATTGGAAACTGAGTTTTTTGGCACTTCATATTTATTCCATTTATTCTCCTGAATTTGATGAAGAGTTATAAAGGAGCCTGTGCTATGCTAGCCCTGTGTATACTGTGTCTAGCACCATTAGGCAGCACATATTCTAATTGAATCCTATCTAATTATCTTTACACTACCACCAGATGCTTCAGGGAATAAGTTTAGATACTCATTTGGTTTACTTTATGCTACATTGCCTGAGGTAAGGTTAAGCTGTCTTCTAGAAACGAGAGAACAGAAGAAGCTGCAGGACCTCACTAATGATATTTACCTTTAATCCAGAATCCTTCATAAAATGGTCAGATGACCGGAACTGTGCTGAACAATACAGATATGTTTGTCTATTTCCACCCTTTGTTGATTTACTTTTTTTTCTGTTATGTTTTGTTCCCTCTACTATATAACATATTATAGCCAGTTTGGTATAGTAGTTAAGATGTCATCTTAGAAACTAGGAGATTGTGAGTTCTAGTCCTGCCTTAGGCACAAAGCCAGCTGGATGACTTTGGGCTAGTCATTCTAGCTGAGTTCTTGAAAGGGTGCAAAACACTCCCAAAAAGTCTTGCCAACTGCAGAAATTAGTCCAGAAAGTCACAAGGAGTGATAATATGACTCGAAAGCATCCTGCACGACCACCAAAAAAGAGTAACAGTTTCTCAACTGTAAGAAATTTGAGTAACCATTAGATGGTAGCTGTTAATTGAAACTTTCTTATCTCTTTGCTGCCATCTTTTGGTTGTCTGGATTTTTACAGCCCAGGTATGGTATCTCTACTCTCCTGACTTTTCATGGCATCAGATTTGGAAATAGAAGAGCATGTGCAGATATAATACTGACCTGGCTGGTGTCCAGGGAGTCTGCTTATTATTGAAGCAGAATAGTTTGGGCAGGGAGGAAACAAGAAGACAGAACAATCAGATGTCTTTAAGGCAAAATTCCAAGGCTTTCTTTCTTTACTTGGCAGCTACTGGTGCAAATTTTAAAATTTTGTTATAAGGCAACTTATTACCTGCTAGGAAAAAAAGCTAAACATCCCACCTACGTATTAATTGAGGGTGCAGAGAAATAAATAAATTTTGTTTATTCTTTATTCCTTTATTTGAATGATTTATAGAAGATGGCTGCCAATCTCATAGCAATGACTCTGGGAGGCATACAAAAAGTTAAAACCAAAATGATAAATAATAATCTACATAACAAATGCCCAAGTTTGAAAAAGAATGTTCCCAATTTTCAAAGAGAAATAAAAGCCATTTCATGAGAGAAAGTGCCACGTGGCAATAATGAACTTTAAATTTATTAGCCGTCCAACTGTGGGTGGCACACAAAACTAAAAAAGATACATAAAAACTAAAATATTAAATCAATAGGCAGCCCAAAATTAAATGCATAGAAACAAAATCCATAAAGCAAATAGGGGCCATTATTCAAATAACAAAAATCAACTTCAGTACTGAAACCAAAGCCAGTTTTTTAAGCATTTTGGAATCCTAGAAGATATGCCACTAACCTTCTCTCTGAAGGATGCTATTTCAGAGGGAGGAAGCTGCAACATATAAGGCACACTTCCTAGGTCCCACAAAATGGAAATATTTAGAAGAGCATCTACTCTGCTGGAATGTAGTACTAGGATGGCAAGACAAGCAGAGACAAGTGGTCTCCCATTATCCAGGCCCTAAGCCCTATGCCATATAAGGCTTTATAGGTAATAACCAGCACCTTCAATTGCACTCAAACCCCCACTGGCAACTACCCAGCTCACACATAAATAGTGATAAATCCCCAACCAAGATCCCCTCCCACTTAATTGCTTGCATCTCTTTGAACCATCTGTAGCGTCTGTGTAGTCTTTGAGAGCAACCCTCTATAGAATGCATTGCAATAATCCAACAGTGAAGTGACCAATGCAGGAGTAAATGTCTAAATGACACCATTCCTTTTATGAGTACCTATACACTAATATATCTATAACTCCTTGAAGAGATTGTTTTTAATTAGGGAGAGGCAGTTGAGTTCTGATGTCAGATTGGAACCCCACTATCACAGAATTATGAAATATTTATTGGAAGTTAGTGCATTCAGAGGCTTAAAATATCTTAATCTTAGAAAGATATAATGAAAAAATTATTTTAATCTTTAAATGTATTGTTACTATCTATTTTGTTTCATTTTATTTTGTTTATTTTCTTAATATAATTTTTTAACTGGCAAGTGCTTAGGGTTTTATTCCTTTCATTTTATTTGAACCTGCTTTTAGATGTTTTATTTAGTGTTGTAACTACTTTGCTGGTCATTGACCATAAATAAGTAAAGTTTAAAACATAAGAAAAACACCAATAAAATTAGTCAACCAGCAGAATTTGCTTAACCCCGAGATCCAAATGCCTGAGGGAACAGTCAAGTCTTTAGTGCCTTGTGAAAGGCTAGCAGCTATGGTATGTGTATATGTGAAAAAAAGTGTTCTTGTGAGTGGAGAGTGTCTATGTTGTTTGATGAAATACTAACATTACTCATTGCTGTTATAATTATTTTTAGTTGGGGTTAGCACTTTATTTTTTTTTAAATATCAATTTCCTCCTCTTTTCATATCCTCTTTCATAGGAAATTTTAATTGCTATTCTATCCCTTCATTTACAGTAGATTTGAATTTATTCCACCCTCCAGCAATTAAAAATTGAGAGACAGAAATAGTTCTAAGTGGCTTTAAAATGCAGTTAGAATATTTTCCCGATGTACCTTTATTTGTGATGGAATACTTGGCAGTGATAAAACAATTAAGGAGGAAATATGATATTATTGACTTATGACCACAAATGAGCCCAAAATCTGCATTGATAAGCAAGACAGTTGTTAAGTAAATAACATGCTTGTCAAGTGAATCTGGCTTCCCCATTGACTTTGCTTGTCAGAAGGTCACAAAAGGTGATCCCATGACCGTGGAACACTGCAACCATCATCAATACATGATAGTTGCAAAATTTGATCATGTGACCATGGGGAAGCTGCAATGGTCATGTCACTTTTTTCAGTGCTGTTGTAACTTTGAACAGTCATTAAACCAATGGTTGTTATCAAAGACTATCTATATTTGGATACAGATATAGATATTTCAGAAATATATGAAGCCACTCATTTTATTTTGGATTTTATTTTCTTGTGGTATACAAGCAAGCAGAAGCATAAAGGAGTATAAAACAATCAGAGCAATATGTAGCATATTCTACTACAGTTTTATTTGGTAAACTATTAGCATCTTCGATCAAGCCAAATCTAAAAAATGCTAGAGAATTCCCAGAAGTGTAGCATTCAGACAAATGAACCATTAATACCTATACAGAGATAAGCCACATTTACACACTGTTCACATCACAGAGGGTGGAGAGGTGATGGCTCAATGGTTAAAGACTTGGTTTCGAGACCCATGTGCCTTGCAACGTGGTAAGCTCCTGTTACCTGTCCCAGCTCCTGCCCACTTAGCAGTTCAAAAGCATATAAATCAGAGCTGGTATTCAGCAAGTTCTGACCGTTCTGCAGAACCGGTAGCGGAAATTATGAGTAGTTCGGAGAACCGGTAAATACATACCACCTCTGACTAGTCCTGCCCCCATCTATTCTCTGCCTCCCAAGTCCCAGCTGATCAGGAGGAAATGGGGATTTTGCAGCAACCTTCTCCTGAAGTGGGGAGGGAATGGAGATTTTACAGTATCCTTCCGCTGGAGTGGGGTGGGGATAGAGATTTTACAGTATCCTTCCCCAGCCATGGGGATGAGCAGTGCCCCCTAGAATTGGATATGACTGGACAGGGGATATCTTTACCTTAACACACTATTCAAAAGAGGTAATAAAAACATCTAGAAAGGAAACAAGAAGACTAGTACACATCTCCTCTAGCAGCTAACATTTAGATAAGCAAAGATCAGCACCAGACAAGCAATCAAGCATCCCCACCAAAAGTGGCAAAGCATATAAATAAGCAACAAAACCCACCATCATTGCAGTGGGTAAGAAAGGAGAAAATCTTTTTGCACAAGAGGACCTCAATATTATAGCTTGATTCTATGACTCACAGATCTTAATTATTTAAATTAATTAGTCTTGTCTGTTTTCCAACCAAACAGCACAATCATAGCCATGTGGTTAGCAACCACTTTGCCTGTCCCAATTAGGGTTATTAAGTGAGGACTACCAGTTTGTTACAGCAGGTTTTCATTACATATTTTCATGTGTGGATATTTTGATGCATATCTACAATATGATTCATTTTTCTGATTTAAAAATATAAACCACTATATCAGATATGGGTATTTGGGCACTTAACCCTTTACTCCACTGCTCCTTATTTAATTCTCTCTTTCTCTCATTCACACTCTTTCATAATTTTCTTAATATGAGTTCAAATGTGATGAAGAACTAGAAACATCACTGATGAGAAACTAACAGAGCTAATAAACACCAGTCCTTGCAATGGATGTACCAATTTAACATAACCTTGAGGAATGGGGCAGTGGCTGTTTGAAATGTAAATAAAGTACAAGTGGTCCTCTTGGGTTATATTATTCTCCTGCAGGAAGTACACTAAATGTTCTAGGCAAGTTGTTGTTGTATTCTGTAGGTTAACTTATATCATCTGTTATAGTATTAAATTATCGGAAGCCTTATGAGTTGTAATGAACATGGTAATTGATGCCTCTAAAGACCGAGAAACCAAACATTTTAGGTTGGTATGATTATTGTCAGAGAAGAAATGCAGAAACAGACTTGAGAGCAATCCTTACAAGATTGTGTGGCTACATATTTCAGCTTTTGGGTGCAATTCAAGATAGTGGTTATCACCTTTGAAGCCCTTCAAGATATAGGCCTATGAGGAACCACATAGTTCCTGTCGTCTCTGCCCAGTAGTACAGTCTAGCAAGATAGATGCTCTTCATGTCCTGTCAATTAAATGACACAGACTGTCATTTTGTGGAATTCCGAATGTCTACCAACATTGTTACAGTTCCTGCCCTATAGAATGACAACCCCCTCCCCCAAAGATCTGTGTGCTCCCCTTCCCCCCACACTTATGTTGTTCAGGGAAACACTTCAAAACCTTGTTCTCCCAGATGTTGGAGACAAGGTGATTGTAGAGTCCCTTTTTGTTCCTTTGCCTGTTTGGTTTGCTTTTGGATACTCTGCTCTTCCAGTCTGTTGTATCTTTTATATGCTTTTTGGTATATATTGGTTCTTAGTTGCAGGCCTTTCAGAGTCATTTGGGAATCAGATGCCCAGATAAAAAGATGAATATATATATAAAGTTCAATTGTCAGTTTTCTGCTTAGGTGCTTCATAGGATTTGCATCTTAGAGAAGTCTCAGTCTTGACTTCTGGCCAGTCTCTGTCCCAGACCTGATCTATGGAGAATCTTTTTTTTTTTTTGTTTATTTGCTTTCTGGTTCAGGTACACACATAGGTTAAATGTGCTTCCTCAATTTAGGTGTAATTTAGCAGCTGTAGTACACATACTTAGGAAACATTATAACATACTTAATGTATTGCATTTTAAAATAATTATTTTTTCTGCCCATTAGATATTAATTAGAAAATAGCCATTAATCTTGTATATTATATTTTTATGTTATTCTGAACTGCACCACAGTTTCTCATTGTATTATTTTGAAATAATTTATAAGAAAATATCTTTTTATATATTCATTATATGCAGGTAATATATGCTTTGAACACAAAAAATGATGAACATGAAGCTGCTATGCAAGCTCTCAAGGATGCTCACGAAGAAGAAATTCAACAAATTCTTGCAGAAACCAGAGAAAAGATTTTGCAATATAAGAGTAAAGTTTCTGAAGAAATGGATCTAAAAAGAAAAATCCAGGTTTTAGAAGAATCATTAGAAGATCACAAAAAGATGAAGCATCAAGCCGTAACTGAATTTGAGGCTTATAAGGATAGAGTTGAGGATATGCAACTCTGTGCAGAAGCTCAGCATGTCCAACGGGTTGTAACTATGTCACGTGAAGTGGAAGAAATTAGAAAGAAATTTGAGGAAAGATTACGAAGTTTTATACAGCTGCAGTTACAGTTTGAGAAGGATAAACATTCAGCTCTTGAAGATCTGAAAGCTGCACATAGACTTGAGGTCCAAGACCTTATGAAGACACATCAAAATCAAAATGTTACTTTAAGCAAAGGTCAGGAAAAAATGGAAGAATTGCACAGGCAGGATGTTGGACAGTTGAATGTTAAAATAGAAGAGCTAAGAATAGAAAGAAAAAAGCTTATTGAGGACTATGAAGGTAAACTCAGCAAAGCTCAATCTTTCTATGAACATGAACTGGATACTATGAAAAGATCACAATTGTTTACAGCTGAAAGCCTGAAATCTTGCAAAGAAAAGGAAGTGGAGCTAAGAAAGGAATTTCAGAGTCAAGAATCAGTTATACGAAAAAATCTGGGGAAGCTTAAAACTGAGTTGCAAATGGCTCAGGATGAAGCAGGGGCTCTTCGAGAAAAATGCCAGAAGCTTCAAGTGGCTCTAAGTACCTCAGAAAACAGTGCACAGGTGAGATAATTATTGTTATGCTGTTTCTTTAACAATAAATAAATACAGTTGTTAGATTGATGTTGACAAACTTTCATGTTGCTCAGCTGGGTGTAAAATCAGATTAGTTTACCTGCAATAGATTGACAAACAAGTAATTTCTTCCATTTTATTTCAAGCTGTGACAAAGTTTGCTTTTCTATATGAAACTGCAGTAGCTTTTCTTCTAATAAGGAAGGCCAAAGGCAACTGAAATAGTTAGTGTTCTGTTAAAATTAATGGTTTAGATTTTTAGAGCTCATTGCGGAAGCAATTTTGGTTCTAATATCCTTTCCCTTCCCTGCAGGAGCCACTAAACATTCTATTCTGTTTTATAACATCTACCCAGCTAAAGGAGTGGCTTAAGAGGCCGCAGTAGAAGAAAGCAAGTAGGGAAAGTCTTGTTTCTCTAATCTGAGCGAAAGAGTAGATTTTCCCTCATTATATCTGGAACTTTTATGTAATTATTGTTGTTGATTGCATGTACATTCTACCTTTTTCCTTATATATGCAAGTCTTCTTACTTGGCCATCTTCTCTGATGGAATTTGAAATGTTAGTGTATGTATATGCCCACATACACATGTGCACAGATCAAAATATTTTTACTTGTTTAAAAATTAAGGTTTTATTGTCCTACCTTTTCCTAATTTTTCTTGGAATAAATATTTTTATAGAAATAATTGAAGAATGGAACTGAAATACAATGCTGTAAATGTCACTTGATTAAAAATGCTTACCAAATAAAAATACTAAATACTGAATTGGATAAAAGTTACAATATGGATGTATTGTGTTTATGGGATGGCTGAGACTTTTCTAAAGGTGTAAAGTTTATCTGACAATTGGAAGAAGGCTGTTTATAGTTTACTAATACAAAAGAAAACAGCAAGAACAAATGAAAAACCATAATGGGGTTATTTCATTAAGGCTGACTGGAATCATGCTTGGAAAAATTATGATTGAAAGTTACAGTATGTGACAATGAGTCAAAGCTGTGAAGTACACTGTGTAGGATATGTAGAGCAATGTAATGTGTAGGCAATGTGTGTAGACTAGATTTTTGCTCTTTAGAAAGATACTAAGAAATGCATGAATATGAAAGTTTATGTTCATATGTTGATATAGAGAAGGCATATGATGCAGTGAATAGGCTTGAATTGTGGAAATTTTACATGAATACAGAATCAACCATTGATTGCTGAATGTACTAAAATATTAGGCATAAAAATAATACTTTGCAAACTGTTCAGTACTAGCCAACAAAGTAAGGCAAGTATGTGTAGTGCCTTTTGTTTATTTAATGGATTTGTGGATAAATATATCATGAATGTTTGTGGTGAGATTTGTTATCTGGTGCCAATTGGTGTTGAATTTTTTTGGGTAGATTCTTGCATATAGTCTTGAGCAATAAAGGCTGAACTGCAATTTAATTCATGGTTCTGATTTTTGTGTCATATAGTCAGTAAGTAAATCTAGCTCCTGCAATTGACTTTGCTTGTTGGAAACAGTCTGGGAAGGTTGCAAATTGTGATCACATGACAGCAAGACCTGTAACTATCCAGGTCTCAAACTGGCGGCAGTGGGCTGGATGCGTCACGTGCAGGCCATGTCCACGCCAGCTGCGGAAATGAGAAAAATATCATGAAACTTCATGTGACAGTGACGTGATACCGCAAGTTTGACACCTGTGTATTAGATGTTTGCCAAGCGCCTGAATTGTGACCACGTGACCATAGGGGAAGTGCAATGGTCATAACTTCTAGAACAGGTTGTAGGTTACTTGTTCCAAGACCACTTTATTTTTTTTAGCTATCGTTAAACGAATGGTTGTAGTCAAGTACTGCCTGTATAGTTTATTTTAAAATAAGGAGGAGTTCTGAAAGCGTAGTGGTCAAAATGCAGTATTGCAGGCAAACTCTTCCCACAACCTGGAGTTTGAACCTGACCAGGGCTCAAGCCTTCTGCCCTTTGAGGTTGGTAAAATGAGGATTCAGATTGTTGGAGGCTATATGCTGATTTTGTAAACCACCTAGAGTGTGTGTGGAGAGCACTATGAGGTAGTATAGAAGTCTCAGTACTATTGATACTTGTCTAGATATTTCATTTGCTTTTCTTTCTACAAAATTGAGCAGTTTTAAGTATTTTGTACTTACAAATTTGAGAAAGATTATTGTGCTAAATGTTATTTTTTTGCCCAATGGTATTTTCACTCTCATCTTCTTGCATTTTAAGCACTTATCAGTTTTCCCTTGTTGTCATCTAACACAGCCTGAAGAAATAATTAAAACATTATATAATTCTGATTTGTAATCAGTAACAAATGTATTAATTGGTTTCAATCTTGCTTCTAAACTGCATTTTAAATTGCCATGGGTTTTTATTTTTATTTTTAATGGAATATTTATACCTAATTCACATTTTTTCAAAATTTATATTAGCTTTTCCTAGGGAAAAATGCTAACATATCTACAGTATTATTGGAAAATTTAGTATAACTTGCCAAAATATCCTTAGCATTTTTTCAGTATATAATGATATACTTATATCATTAGTAACTATATTATGTGAAGCCTTTTTGACACTTCACAAAGGCAAATTCTCTTTTAAGGAATTCTCTTTTAATGAACCTATTTGATTTATCCTACAGTTTTTGGAATTTTGTGATTATCTAATCTCTTTATAATTTAATCTTTCAGTGTATTTCTTTTATAATATTATTGTAAAATTGTAATATTTTATAATATTGCAATTACAAAGTATAATCCAGTTTTTTTTATTTTCAGTAGAAGAATAAAATTGCTGTATGTTCAGTAATTTATCCTCCCTTTGTATCTATCTGCTTTACTTTGGATGGGATTATTTTGCACCTGAGATTGCAACAGGGCTACACATAAAGGTGGAAAACCATTGAAAACCTTTTTCCTTCTTTTGCATATGAAATTAGTTTGCAACTGGAAGAACATTGATCAGATTCCACACAATATCTTTTTTTAAATGGCCTTTGTAGGGGTTTTTATTATTACAACTCAGCCAAGATTTGAAGAAAATATTCCTCTAAAAGGCAATATCAGAAAAATGAAATAAACCCAGGGTTTTTTTCTATTTTCCTGTTTTCTTAGGCTCTTCAAAAACAACTAGATGATGTCAAAGAGGAGGAAATGTCATTGTTAAGCAAACATAAAGAGGTTGAAATTGAGTTAGCAGCTACAAGAGAACGCTTACAACAACAAGCCACAGACCTAGTGCTAAAAGCTAGTATGTGTGTATGTTTCTATTACTTTGTATATAACCCATTTTATGTTATTATTGCTAGAATGTTTGCTCCTAGGTAATATTTGATGCATAAGAAAAATGTTAACTTTTTCATACAAAAGTATCTTCATTTTTTATTTTTATTAAAAAATAATTTTTTTAGTCTGTTTCCATTGTTTAGGAAAAATATCAGATCCAGCACAATCTACAGGGTTTGTTAGTTTAGTGAGGCTTACAACTAGCAAATATGCAGACGATTGCAGTCTTATGACCTAAGACTTACTTAGCCAATATCCTCCTTACAGAAATGTTGGCAATATTAATCTATAATTCCAATATAATTGGAAAAACACTAATTTGGGGGAGCAGGGTTTGCAAGTGAAATCTAATGAATTATAAGCACATGGAATTATTTTTCATGTTTTTCTGGAAATACGTTACAGTTTGAATTTTACAAGATAAAATATATTAAGAACTCAGAACTTAGAATTTACCATATTTTTCGGAGTATAAGACGTACCCTTTTTCCCAAAAAAGAGGCTGAAAATCTGGGTGCGTCTTATACACTGAATACAGCATTTTTTGCCTTCCTGAAGCCCCGCCCCTTCACCAAAATGGCCATGCATACCCTTATGGAGGCTTTCAGAGACCACCTGGGGGCTGGGGAGGGCAGAAATGAGCAAAATATGGGCCATTTTTTGCCCCCCCCCAGCCCCCAGCAGCATTCTATAAGCTTCCATAAGGCTATGCATGCAATTTTTTTTTCAAAAAACACCCGTTTTTATGCTCGTTTCCAACCCCCCCACCCCCCCACAGGAGCACTCTGCAAGCCCCCTCCCAAGGCTATCTATGCCTTTTATTTGAAAAAAAGGACCGTTTGGGGGAGGTTTGCAAAGTGCAAAAACTTTTTTTTTCCTTTTGGAAAGCTCTTTAACTGATTAATGAGAATTACTTGGATCAAATGCTGTGCCAGCAGGAACAAAGTTAGGTGCTGCAGATTGT